GATTTGAAAGTTGTTACACTTTTACTTGAGCTGCAGCTAGGCTACACAAAGTTTTGCTGTTTTTTGTGTGAATGGGACAGTCGGACAAAGGCACTTCATTACACCAGACAAAACTGGCCTGTTCGTCAATTCCTAGAGCCAGGCCAAAAAAATGTACAGCATATGCCATTAGTAGATTCGAAAAACAATTTATTACCACCACTGCATATCAAGTTGGGCCTAATGAAAAACTTTGTCAAGGCATTAGATAGAGATGGGTCAGCTTTTCAATACCTACGTCAGAAATTTCCAAGACTAAGTGAGGCAAAGGTTAAAGAAGGTATTTTTGTTGGGCCACAGATTCGAAATATTTTGAAAGATACACAGTTTGAAAACACTTTAACAGGTATTGAAAAAACTGCTTGGAATGATTTCTTGGGAAATAGAAAAGCTGACAACTATAAAACCCATGTCAAAAATATGCTGTCATGGTATCAAAAGATGGGTTCTGCATAGTGAGAAAGTCACAGTTTGGTGCGCCGTGTCAGAAACTGGGATAGTTGGGCCTTACTTTTTTGAAGAAGGCTATCGGGATGTCACCGTCAACTCGGAACGCTACGTAGCGATGATTCAGAATTTTTTTGTCCCAGCTCTTGCAGAATTCAATGTGCAGAATGCCTGGTTTCAGCAGGATGGGGCGACAGCCCACACATCCCGAGCATCATTAGGCATTTTGAGAGAACTGTTCCCCGGACGCTTGATCTCCCTTAGAGGCGATATTCCTTGGCCTGCGCGCTCCCCGGATTTGTCGCCTTGCGATTTCTTTCTGTGGGGCTATCTTAAGGCTCAAGTCTTTCAACATCGTCCAAGGACCTTACCACAGCTGAAGGAGGCAATCCGTCTGGAAATTGGCCGAATACCGCAAGCAATGTTAGTTAGAGTTATGCAAAACTTCAGAAAGCGCTTGCGGCAATGCTGTGATAATGGTGGAAAGCACGTTGCCGATATTATTTTCAAAACTACATAAAATAAAACTGTTTGAGTTGCACTTTTAAGATTTCAAAATAAATCCATAGTATTCCAAATAACATTTGTTTTATTAAGCTTTGAAAATAGGGAGACAGTTATGCCCCACCCTGTATGTCTCTTAAGATACATTTCCTACACTCACACCTGGACTTTTTTCCTGACAATTGCGGAGCCGTAAGTGATGAGCACGGCGAACGTTTTCATCAGGATATTTCAACAATGGAAAAAAGGTACCAGGGAAAGTGGAATCCTTCCATGCTTGCAGACTACTGTTGGACTCTCGGTAGAGATGCTCCAGAAACGATCCATAAAAGAACAGCAAAAAGACAGCGCATACAGTGATTCTTATAAGTATATGAATCTTGTTATTTTTTTTAATATATCCTTAAAAATAAAAAGTTTTTTTCTAAACCGCAACTAATTTTTTTATTTCATTGTCATTTTTGGATTCAGCGCCCCAAAATTAACAAAGAGGTGCACTTTTCCCACAAGATACAATTAAAAAACTAAAATTTGTTGTCCAGTGGAAACTTGTGCTCTTGGACCAAGAGCACTCTCTTTTGTGTGTCATAATACATTGCAGCAAAATAAAAAAATGAAATAAGTTACAGAAAGGCCCGAAAGCACTTATAAATGATATAAGTTCAACTCTGTAGCTATTACATATTTGCAAAAAAATCTACCTCAAGAAAAAAGGGACTTTTAGTCAAAAAATTAACTTTCCTTGGTTTGATCGTTTGAGTCTCATTTACATTAGTGCGTAGTGAAGTGTATCTCAAAAATACAGTTGATTTTAAACTGGTTTGGATGCAGAAGTATTAGAAACTACATTATAAAGTCGATGAATGTTGTATGAGAAAGACCTACAAAACTAAGAGGTTTGATGAGGAGGAGGTGACATGTAGCCACGAAACCGCAAATGTAAATTATGTACAACACTGTGAAAAGTTTTCGTATTGAATAAATATGGCGGTTGCTTCAAAGCAAATTTTGTGAAAAAGACTATCAAGAAGGCCATTCTCTTTTTTATTCTTTTAAACTATTTTTGTTGGCAATTAGCTAAGCTCAGAATTTCATCAGCCGATGACTCGGCCCAGGTAGCAATATCCGTGGGCATCTCGGACATATACTTCTCCTTTTTGGGATCGAGCATGACGTCGTCGTCGCTACTCCTCCAGACTACCAAATAAAACCACCAACGGCCTCGGCGGCAGCGGGTCGCGGTCGTTCTGATTCGCAGAAACACCGATAAACCGCTACACTCACTGAAGAACTTATGTCTACGTCGAATCGTCGAACTTAGTTTGCAGTACGGTTAGCCTATGAATTCAAGAAAAGCCTGTTCAAACTGTATGGTAGACTGGGATCTTATGTACCATTAAATACATTACTATATTCTAAAGCGATGGTTATACGAGCCCCTTCCCACTTCAGTTGGCCCACTTCAAGATTTGTACCAAAATATGCCTTTATAAACGAAACTATTTACTTCTAAAACAATTTATTTTCTCAGAAACATTTAAGATACACTCTAGTCGTAAAAAATACATATTTGAAATCACTTGGACCTATAATTAATAGAACATCTGAACAAATAAACAATGCGCGGATAAATGCGCGAAGTTAACAAAGCAACAATTGAAAGATTATCATTGGGTAAAATCACCTTTATTTTTTATTACGGCAGAAATTCTTTGGGGCATAGTGTTAACCAAGTTTGGCAAAAATTTGGTGTAAAACAATCCCATATTTCTTGAAGCTTTTGTCTCAGTTCGGTGATTGTACGAGCAGGATGTTGTCGTAGAACCTTTTTCATCTCGTGCCACAAAGTTTCAATAGGTGACAGATCTGGACTGCTAGAAACCCATTTCAAAAGCGGTACATTATTTTCTTCCATCCATTTTATAGCCTTTTTTGAGGTATGGCACGCTGCACCATCTTGCTGAAACACAAAATCTTGGTCGGATGTCAAACATTCTTCCATTACTGGTAAAAGCGATTCTTCTAAAATTGCCAAATATTTGTTTGTATCCACATTTCCATCAATAAAATGAAGTTTTCCTACTCCTTTTGATAACGTTTTGCCCCAGACCATAATGGATGCTGGAAATTTCACTTTTCTCTTCAGACAGCCAACATAGAATGCTTCATTTTTATTATTTGTGTTTGATAAGAAAAAAACTAAGATTTCAATAGTTGGGCCAACTGAAGTGGGAAGGGGCTCGTAATGTTTCTTATAACTGATCAACAGTATTAATTTGTTCAGCATACACTAGTTGTTTAGAAGCACCCCACAAAAAGAAATCCAGGGGGTTCAAATCAGGAGACCTCGCAGACCAATGTACGGGTCCGTTTCTGCCAATCCATCGTTGTCTAAAAATACAATACTTAGGTAAATCCACGTGCCAAATTTTTGTTCATTCCACTTGCCGGTTTTGAAGAAAATTGTTTTTTATTTTTGAACTTCAACACCCGATATCTTTTTAATGAAGAACTCGATGGAAAAATGTTACATAAAAGATCTCTCTTAAAATGCGGTTCTGGGAATGATGTTTCATTCTTGGCCACGAATTGTGAATCACCCTGTGTAGGTACTCGGCACAGTTTGAAGAGCCGTCAGATACTTCAGTCAGCAGAACTTTCATATAACTGTCGATAAAACCTGTAGGTTCTTAATCTTAATCTTAATTTCTCCAATGAACGCACTGCAGTTAGCAACCTCAATAACTCATGAAGTCAGTGAAATGGGAGAAATGATTTTTCATGATAATATATACAGGGTGTCCGCAAAGTTGGGGGTTTCCTTTTCAGAAACAACTACCCTTAAAATAACAAAGGTAATGTGTAGTGAAACGAGGGCGACCAAGTAAAAAAAAATAAAGGAAAAAGTACTCACTCTCCAGTTGACGAGAAGGGCTAAGTACGTCTCTGCCCGAACTCATACCGCTCCAACAGAAAATGAAATCAGCTGATGCGCTACCGAGCAGACGCCGGCGGTGGTGCAGACCACGAACAGAGGTAACAAATATGACCATCGTGCAGAAACTACATTGATTGTCTTACACTTGTGCCCAATAGACAGCGTGCGGATTTTCTACTGACCAAACATGAGTGTTGCGAAAGTTATTCACCCCATTACGCGTGAACGTAGATTCGTCTGTCACCAATATGCACTTCAAAAAGTCCGGATTATTGTCATGTTGATGCAACAACCACTCACAAAACCGCACTCTTGCTGGAAAATCGTCAGGTTGAAGGGCTTGTACACGTTGGACGTGCAACGGATACAGCCTCTCTTCACGCAGCGTTTGCCACACATTAGTTTTTGATACTTGCACTTCTCTAGCCACGTCTCTAGTGCTTGTTGTTTTTTGAAACGCAATCGATTATACGGGTTCGTTTACCTCTACACGCGTGACCGTAACCGTCGGTTGAAGGTTGCATACTGATATGACACACTGACCCCGACCTAGTTCTGTCGTCGGGTTGAGCTAGTGTCCTAGTACCAGTCGGGGATGTCGCGAGTCGCGGCTACAGGACGGTATTCAGATATTTTTGATGTTGCAGAGCCCTTTATCTCGGTTCCCTTAAGGCATTGCTGTATATAGTACTAAGAAAATTGCTTATGTTTTTAAGATCTACACGTCGGGTAAAGGAAAACCCCAACTTTGCGGACACCCTGTATACCTCCATGCCATACAACATAAAACAATGATATCACAAGTTACTGCTTGCAGTGCTCCTCTTGTACGTTGGTAAAGGAAGAAAAATGTGATGTGCATCTCTCTCAGTTTGAAGACGTGTATGCAGACATGTAATAAAAACACGGTGCTACTAATCGATTAGCCCACGTATCTTGGTCTATGGTAATAGTGCAACTGTTTTCTTTTTTATGTTACAGCCGTTTGGTGAAATCTATCAACTACGAGTATATCACAAATCTTAACCTATCTAATAAGCGTAGTTACCTAATATTTATTTTAAGCTTTCAGCAAGATCAAAATATTGCATAAAAGAACCAAGGTCACCGACACGGATCCGAATTTCAACAATTGACCTTAAAAATGAACAAACAACGACGATGCTATGCTTGAATGGGCAAGATTCATCACATTTTGCAGTCAATCAAATGATCAAATCACCGCGATCTTATAAGAAAGAACAAATGGTTGGTAGTTTATATACATATTCGTATGAGTATTGAGTATAAAAAGATGCGAAAAAGATTGGGACAGCTTATCGATATCAGTTTTGAACTGGTTGAGATTGGTAGTAAAGCCTCCTACCTATAAATTGGTTAAGTCTTTCGCGGCCAGTTGATCAACTTCATAGTAGTTGAACCCGACGACATCGTTGTGAGCTTCGATGTCGTTTCCCTTTTCACCAAGGTACCGCTGAGGGAATGCCTGGATCTGGTGAGCAGGATCTTCCCTTCTGACATCTGCAAGTTCTTTGAAATCTGTCTCATCGGAAGCTACTTCGTATGGAACGGGGGCTTTTATGAGCGGACAGACGGAGTGGCAATGGGAAGTCCACTTAGCCCAGTCATAGCCAACCTTTTTATGGAACACTTTGAGAAGAAAGCGGTTGAGACAGCGTAGAACAAACCAGCAATTTGGTTCCGGTACGTGGACGACACCTTTCTGATTGGCGACATGGCACGGACAGGCTAAATGAGTTTCTGCAGCATCTCAACGATCGGCATCCAAGCATTCAATTTACCATGGAGATAGAGAGTGGCCAACAGCTGGCCTTCTTGGACGTACTAGTCAGGAAGCGAGGTAACAAGCTGGGTCCCACAGTGTACAAAGCAAATTGCCGGCTAGGACAAACTGAGAAGTCTGCGGTAGCTGAAGATGCACTAAGCAATGGGGACCACGGGATACAGTTTGGGAGCTGCAGGTTGCTGTCATCAGTCAACGGCTCTCACAATAGGCTGGTCAGGGAAGCTATCGAGATTCATCGTCGGTCCGGAGCAACCAACCTACATTCCATTCGGCCTCGGACGACCTGCGGTACTGGACATAGCCATCCTCCGCAACATCAGAGAGGAGTTCGAGATAGAGACCCTGGTGGAAGGATCGTCGGACCACAATCCGATTCTACTAACACTTGGCACAGGGTCTAGAACTCGAGATAGCTTGAGCACCAAACGGACGAACTGGAACCTGTACAAATCCAACGTCCAAAGGTGTTCCTTTCCACTCAAATTTCAACCATCCGATCAGCGGAGGAACTGGGCAACGCGGTAGAGGAGCTGGAGAATGCTGTCCTGCGAGCGCACGAGGACAGCATCCGCTCCGAGACTACGGCAGTTCCTAGACACCTAAATGGTCCAGCACCGCACCATATTAGGCACCTGATCAGGGAGAACAGAAGACTCAAGCGAGAAGAACGCACTCGCGGAACTCCAAAACAGCAGATGGAATGCAGTCTGTGCAGAACTAGAGACCCAGGATGGTACGGCCTGGACTATGCAGCGAAAATTCCGTCGTCAGCGCACCACGATCCCCACTCTTCACGGCCAACGCGGCTTAGCCTACTCCAGTGAAGAAAAAGCCGAAGCATTCGCCGATTCGCTAGAATCCGAATGCAGACTCAATTACCATGAAGACGAGGACGACAACCACGAGGAGGCCGTGGAAGTCGCAGCCGAAATCATGAGGAGTCGACCACCTGGCCAGGAGACGGATCACCCCTCCAGTCCAGAGGAAATCCGTCTGATCATCCGCAGGTTGAAGGTCAGAAAGGCGCCGGGAAGGGACGGCATTAACAATAGGATGCTGAAGAACCTTCCCACCAAAGGCATTGCTGCGCTCACCAACATCGCCAATGCCACTCTGAGACTTAACCACCTCCCGCGGCGGTGGCGGGAAGCCCAGGTTATAATGCTCACCAAGCCAGGCAAGGACCGGAAGTTGCCCCAGGACTACCGGCCCATCAGCCTGGTTTCCTCGATGGGCAAAGTAGTCGAAAAGGCTATCGCCGTTCGACTAGAGAAGCAGGCAGAAGAACTGCAACTTCTCCCCCCAGAGCAATTCGGCTTCAGATCCTCCCACAACACGGAACTCCAAGCGCTACGACTGACGGAAAACATCACCAGCGGCTTCAATCTCCAGGAGGCAACCGGTCTCGTCCTGCTGGACGTGGAACGAGCCTTGGATCGAGTTTGGCACGATGGACTCATCGCCAAAATGGAAGCCGCCGGAATCGATGCGAACATGTGCCAACTGATCCAGAGCTATCTAACACAAAGATGGTTCACGGTGAAGATTGGTACATGCCATTCAACAAGACGACAGCTGGAAGCAGGCGTGCCCCAGGGGTCAGCCTTAGCCCCCCTGCTCTACAACATCTATACTCACGATGTGCCGAAGACAGCTGACACAATGCTGGCCCTATATGCAGACGACACTGCTATAGCCGCCAAGCATAGACGACCCGAGATCATCCGTAGGAGACTACAGGATGAACTGGACCACATCCAGGACTGGTGCGTGAAATGGAAAATCCGCATAAACGTCCAGAAGACGCAGGCAATCTTCATCCAACGCAGAAGGATTGCAAGACCTCTCGAAGCGTCCATCTTCGACGAAGATATCCAGTGGAGCGACAAAGTCAAATATCTGGGGATCGTATTTGACAAGTCCCTCACCTGGAAAGCCCACATAGAAGCTGTCATCGTAAAGACCAGAGCAGCCATGGCTCAACTCTACCCATTACTGGGTAGACACAGCCGGATGCCGCTAGCGACCAAGCTACGGCTGATCAAGGCCATCTCCATACCTCAGCTCGCTTATGCCTCCGCGGTCTGGGGGTACGCTGCCCCCAGCTACCGCAAGCGACTTGCTGCTCTAGAGATGAAGCTACTCCGGATCGCCACCAGTGCACCATCCTACGTAAGTAACTCAACCCTGCGTAGAGACCTGCATTGGGACACCATTCACGAGTACATGAGGAAAAAAGCGGAGAAGACCTTCCAGAAAGCTCACGACCACCCGAACGAGCAGCTACGATTCCTCATGGACTACGATCCGGACGAGAGGCCTCGCAACCGTAGAACCAGGTACCCTAGACCAAGGTCCCAGTTGGCACCCGCTAACTGGAACCTTGACTAGGAGACTAGGAGAACCCGCGGTTGCTCCCCCCCCCCCACGGCGTGGATCCAGGAACCACCGGGACCAGGACCAGGACCAACCAGGACCAGGACCCGCCACGACCAGGACCCACCAGGACCAGGACCCATCAGGACCAGGACCAGGAACAATATATAGGTAAGAGGACTTGAAACTCTTGATTTTTCGAAAACAAGGGTTTCAATAGAACCTAGCAGACCCTCTATCGATGATCGCTTAACGACATCGATAGAATGTGCGAGGTAAAAGGAACCAACCCGGCGTTCCCAGAGACTGAAACACATGAGGGAGACGTTGTAGCAGACCGCAGATCACGCACATCACATGGCCTACCGAGACGCTGATGAGTTGGGCCACGCGGAGGTTAGGGTTTAGTGGGTATTAGGTATTGTCTTTAGTGACGAGTCTCGATTTTGTTTAGGCAAGCACGATGGTCGTGTCAGGATTAGAAGGCGACGTGGTGAAAGGAGGAATGAATCCACAGTTTTTTGTTGAAAGACATGTTCATCACACTGTTGGAGTCATGGTTTGGGGTGCTATAGCTTATGGTTCCAGGTCACCTTTAATCTTCATCAGAGGTAACATGAACGCGCAGCGTTATATCCACGAAGTTCTAGAACTCCATCTTTTACCCTATCTTGACACCCTGGCAGATCCAACTTTCCAACAAGATAATGCCCGACCACATGTTGCAAGAGTCACAATAGACTTCTTTCAACATAATGATGTCACATTGTTACCATGGCCATCAAGATCTCCCGACTTATCCCCAATTGCGCAATTTACAACGTCCTCCTCAGACTCTAGAAGCACTTCGAGAGGAGTGGGTGGTTTCCTGGAATGAGATACCACAGGAGGACATTGACCACCTGATCAGAAGCATGCCTAGGCGCGTTGGAGAATGCGTAGCACATCAGGGTACATCCACACATTATTAAAGGTCAAAGGGCTTTAAAGCAGTGTAATCATTTTGAAATTTTTATCATTTACTTATTATGCTTCATTAAGTACTTATACAGAATTTTATTAAAATCAAACCATTTCAACTGGGTATTCGGATTTATATGTCACTTAGTATAATATTAACGGTCAGTTCGTTAAGGTTCAGTACTGTATTTAGTACGTATTCTGTGCTGAGTACATGGTATATCAGTTCCGCATCTATTTTTCATTGGCATTTCCAATAACATTAATTTTTTTTATTTTTCAATCTATAACAAAATCATATGAACATATCAAGTTTTGGGATACAGGGTAGTGAAGTTTCCAAAAATAATATTTCTAAATATCCATAATTAAATCATGATCTTAAAACCTGTGTCGCTATACTGTTGTCACTGAATTCGAACGGTAATTATTGTTCCCGAAATCTTAAAGAAATCGCTTAGGCCCACCACTAGACAAAACAACGCATTTTATATCACGAAAGGTAAATCCAGAAAGAGCTTCCGAAATAGTGAGGCGCTATTTCGTCAGCCACCATAAAAGTACAGATTTGTGTAGGACCATCCTATATACCAAAAACTACCGCTTTCTTCTTTACTGCATAAAACACCTATCAGTGCTGCCGATGAATCTATTTGTACAGACTGAATCAACATTAACGGCACATTTTATCAGCATACGTGTTATGATATCCACCGTGCGTGGCATGAAACATTCATTTGTTTGAACACGTAATGTTACTGTAGCATAATATTATACATGGTGACCAAACTTAAAAACGAAAAAAATTGTTTTTCAAAGTCTCCTTCACTCATTGGAGACGGTTGACTTAAACATTTTACTTAAATGGTAACGTTTAACCTATTTCGCAGTATTTGAGAAAACTATAGAGTTAGCAAGAAATTGATATTGAGAATATAAAGAACATAAGACAAAGCATAATATACTAAGTGACATATAAATCCGAACACATAG